AACGGTAGCAGGCATGAAAAAAAATATACTCTTTTTAATCATTTAAAGTCCTTCTTCCAAAGAAATTAACACTAAACACTAAGTGATGAAAAAGTATTTATTTTAACATTTTTCCCCTTTAGTTTTCCAGTAATTGTCCTGACTATGCTAGAGGAAGATTGCATAGTGCAAAGTAAAACTCTGTACTAGTTTCTGTCTTCAGAGAATTTCTGAGCTAGCCAGGAGGATGAATTTATTCCTAAGCAGATACTTGGCAGGTGCCTTTCACTCATCATGCATTGTTTTAGGTGGTGGGGTTTAAAGCTACCATGAAAACTTCGTAAAATCCTTGCCCCAGTGGGGAACTCTCATGACCCCAAAGGTTCTATCTTTGGACATTCATTTGGGCACTGGAACCTTGGGGTTGTGTCCGGTACTGGTTTTCACCTTTTAGGCCTGGTAGAAAAGCCTGGACTTGATTCCCTGTCTCTCCCTGGAGTAGAAAATGCCTCCCTCCATATCAGGCTGCTTGGAGTTGGAGAAGGGACCAGCTATTTGCTTTCTGCCTTTGTCAGTCCCTGGGAAGAGACAGAGGCCCCTATGCATTGATGGACTGCGTATGTCCTTGGGAAAGGAAGTGGTTACCTGATATTGCCCTGTTCCTGGTGGGGGAGGTACTTTCTGGGAGGGAGGTCATTTGATTGGTAGATAGGTGGGTGGGAATTACATAGAGCCATGGAGATCTGGCTTCCGGTTCCTGACCCCACAATAGCTACCTAACTGTCCCATTTAATTCCCTCCTCAGATTTTCAGTCCTTAACTTTGAGAGTTGGTGAGGATTATAGATTCAAGACATCCTCTATGTTTACTTCCTGCTGATTTGGGGGCATGGGTCTTGCCTATCCCAGGTTCAGAAATCTCTCTGTCCCATCTAATAGGCACGTTTCCTGAACCATAGAATTTCTGTTCAGTGCCAATGGCTTTTTTTTCCCCCTACATTATCTTTAATACTCTGAGAAATTGTTGGCTTCTGAGGTTTTTGGCTGGGTAGGCTGTCTTTCCTTTTGTGTGCACCTGAGTACATTCTTCACCTTTGCACATGAGTCATCAACCATGGTGGCCCAATCATGCAACATGTGTGCTGAGGCCAGACCACACACCCATAGGTTCAGGATTCTGATGTATCTGAGGATGTCATGAGATGAAAATACAGGCTGCTTGCTGACATCAAAAGTCATCAATGGGTACCTCCCCATAGTGGGTGCCGCTGCCTGGGCTAGGAGTCCCAGCACAATGGCTCTTGGCCTTCCTGCTTGGCCCATTACCATCACCAGCTCTTGCCCACACTGGCAGGTGTGCTGGACTATCCTGGGTGGGCTCATGGCAATACGTTTTAGATGTCAGCCCTTCCCTATACCCAGCTCCACCTGCCCCACCCCTAGCTCTGGCTCTTGTGCATGCTAGTGGGTACAGTGGCCTGATCTGGCAAGGCCCAAGGTGCTGGCCCTCTAGCCCAGGCAGGGGACCTAGCTTGCCCTGTTGGATACTGATATGGGCCACGTAGGCCCAGCTCTCTCACCCTAGCTCATCCCTGCCACAAGAAGTAGTGCTTTGGGGAGATGATTGGGTGATGAGACTGGAGCTATCGAGAATGGGTTAGTATGCTTATAAAAGGGATCCCAGAGAGATCCCCTAGCCCTTCCTTGATTTGAGGGCACAATGAAATGTCTACCCATGAACAAGTAAGAACACCTCAGCAGGCCCCAGATCTGCATTGACCTTAGGTCTTCCCAACTATAGACTACACATTTCTGTTATTAAAAACCCACCTGGTTTAGTTAATTTTGTTTTAGCAACATGAACAGACTAAGGCATTCATTGTTGTAACATTCTGTCTTTTGTTAACAGTCTTGCTCACTCTTCTTTGGTTTGTGAGTGTCTGGGTTGACAAGATGGGTGGGGATAGATTTAAAGGTTTGTTATTTGAAAGATTCTCAAATAGAGCATGGAAGACAGAAGGAGAGCGAGAGAGAGTCCATTGGCTGATTAACTCCCCAGATAGCTTTGCAGTGTCTGGCGCTTCTTCTTGACCTCCCGCATGAGTATGGAGCCCCAAACACTTGGGCTGTCTTGTGCTGCTTTTCCAGGCCCATAGAGCAGGGAGCTGGGTCACAAGCAGAGCAGTTGAGACATGAACCAGCCCCCATAAGGGATGCTGTTGTTGGACGCTGTGTTGGAGGCAGCAGCTTTACCCTACTGTGCCACAATAATGGCCCCAGTGATAATGTTATTGTAGGATTTAGTACAGAAATGAAATCTCAGAGAGAGTACTTAATTTTCTTAGGATTTCATAGTTGGTGGTATATTCAGGACTTGAACTCTAGCTAACTAGATTCCATTTTTGTTGTTGTTTTTATGCTGACTACATTAAGATTGTGTCTAGGATCATCTGAAAAACTAAGCTTGGAATAAACTCCAGGGTATTCTTTGTCATTATTCTTAAAGATTTTATTTATTTAAAAGGCAGAGCAGTATAGGGTGAGAGAGAAATTCCATTTGCCGGTTTATTCCCCAAATATGTGTGATGGTTGGGGGCTGGGTTTGGCTGAAGCCAGGAACCAGGAATTCCATCTAGGTCTCCCATCTGGGTGGAAGGATGCCATGCACTTCAGCCATCCTCTGCTGCCTGCCCAGGCACACTGGCAGGGAGCACATTGGAAACAGAGCAGCTGGGACTCCAGCAAGTGCTCCAGGGTGGAATGCCAACATTATCGGTGGCAGTTTAGACCACTGCGCCACAATGCTGGCCCCTTCTTTGTCATCTTCTAGTCCATATTTCTCCATTATTTATCTGTAGGTGAGATAGGCTTAAGATGAACATGAAATGTTGTGTTGACAAGAAGGAGACACTGTGGTATGTTATATTATTGTGGGAGGGAGAAGCTAAAGGAGAGGGTGTAAGCAGGCAGCAGCAGCCCTTCTGCTTTGTCATTGGGGCAAAGGGAAATTGGGTTTACATGGGAGCTTCAAGGAGTGTTTAACTTTAGTCAGGAAGGTTTCAAGAACACATCCTCTGGAGTAACCAGCCTAACTACCAGAGAAGTCATCAGATTGAGGCAATGAATTTCTGGAAGCATCTGGAACTCCAAAAAGACTAAATGGAAAAGAGCTATCAGGCAAAGGAAAAGATGAAGTTCATTGAACATTGGCGTAAGAATTAGTTCATGAGGACCCTTTTTTTGGGGTGAGCTTGTCAGGGATTATGCATTCCCCAGTGAGTGTGTTGCTGCAGTGTACCTGGCCCTGCACAAGAAATCCTGTGGAGGTAAAAGAACAAAGTTGTGGAAAATTTGCAGGGTAATAGAGGCAGAGTAAGGACACATGACCACAATAGCAGGTGAAGTAGGGCCCACTGGGGATGCAGCCATTGCGATGAAGAAAGATTGACCTGTGTCTTACTAGGAAGCTTTGTGATCTTGGACAAGTGATGGCTTTACGACTCGATTTCCTCATCTGTAAAATAGGCAATTTGAAGGGATCTTGTTTATTGCAGTGACAGGAGATGCGTATGTAACATGCTTGACACATAGTAAACTTGAATAAATAATGACTGATTACTAAGCGCTGTGAGATTGAGATGAAGATGAGGAAGAATCTGGTGAGGAAGGTTAGATTGGAGAAGGCCTTGTAAAGGTTTGACTAGAGTCTCAGGGAATGCATAACATATTGTAGTGCAGTTATGAGGCAGTTCTCACCTCCTTCATGGTGGGAGAGGAGTGAGGATGTCCAAGCCCAGAAGAAAGCAGAACAAACTTGAGGTAAGTAGCAAGTTGATGACGCAAACAGGCAGAAGATGAGGGCTAAACTCAGGGCAAGAAAAATCCAAAACAGAGCCCAGACCAGGCACCCAGGCGACTGGCGGCACGCGAGAGGCCTCGGAAGCCATCTCCGTGGAGCAGGGCGCGGCAGATCAGGGTTCTGGGAACTCTTACACCTTAATGCAGTCTAGTGATTAGGCAAGAGCCCGTGAGTTCTAGGTGGGTTAAAGATCACCACAGTATGTTAACAGGATAACCACTGCCCCCAAAATGAGCATTTGTGGTGATGTATATGATAGGATGTGAGAGGTACTGGCCACTGACTGTCCAAGGCTAAAGGCACAGGTGCTGAGCTCTGCCCCATGATGAACTCGTGTGTGGCCAGAGACAAGCCAGCTCTGAACCTCAGGGTCTGTGGGTCACTCACTAGTTGGAATGTTTCCTTTAGAAACTCTTCTCTTGACTGCTTACTTTTGGAAATGCAAAAATACAATTACAATTCACCAAATAAAAGAAGTTGTCTCCCCATTCACATGTAATCACTGTTGATAGTCTTGCTGTGCTCCTTCTAGATTTTTGCCAATTTTGATTCTGATTGATGCACATATACGTGTCCATTTAAATAAGATGGGGTTAGACAATGCTTAATATTTGTCATGTTTTTCTCATTTAAGATGTCAGCTGTTTTTTTGGTTTTTTTTTTTTAATATTTATTTATGTATTGGAAAGTCAGATATACAGAGAGGAGGAAGATAGAGAGGAAGATCTTCCATCCGATGATTCACTCCCCAAGTGAGCACAAAGGCTGATGCTATGCTGATCCGAAACCAGGATCCAGGAACTTCTTCCGGGTATCTCACACGGGTGCAGGGTCCTAAAGCTTTGGGCCGTCCCTGACTGCTTTCCCAGGCCACAAGCAGGAAGCTGGATGGGAAGTGGAGCTGCCGGGATAGAACCGGCACCCATATCACACTTTCAAGGCGAGGACTTTAGCCGCTAGGCCATGCCGCTGGGCCCATGATGTCAGCTGTTTTCACTTCATATTAAATAATCCCATTGGAAGAACTTGTATGAGTCCCTTCTGGGGGCATTAGACCCTTTATCTCATGATTTTGTTTGTGTAAGTTTTGGGATTAACTTTTGTCGAATGTTCATCCTAAAGCCTTCCCTTCCTCTCTCTAATGGAGGTTTTCTGCCTTGCAGCATTGCTGGGAGCCTGGTGTATTCCTACATCACTTTCACTGAAGAGCAGCTAAGCAAGCAATCAGAAGCCAGCAGCAAGCTGGATGTCAAGGGGAAAGGCGCAGTGTGACATGAGGATCGCTCAGCCACACAGGCGCAAGACTGGATGAGCGCCGACACTGCAATTCCCACACAAGAACTGAGATGTCTTGATAAAGGAGAAAGTATTGTCCCTTTGCACTTGTACAATCTGAGATTGATTGCTGCCTTTTAAATTTTTATGAGAGAAACTTAAAATTGACTCTATTTTAAATATGTTGTTTGACTTAATTTATATCATACTAGAAAATATACTGGGCTTTTTAATTTATTTTTCTTCTGACAGTGAAACATCAGTGTTTTGAAAGTATTTTATTTCATACTTTGATATCCAGGTGTCCCTGAGGGCTGCATATTTTTATGTGCTCCAGTTGGAGCCTCCTCATTGAGATCGTTGCTGCATCTGGAGACATAGCCTTTCTTCTGCTGAAAATGAAGCCACATTTATGAAATTTCTCTTCTCTGAACTTCATTTCTTATGGCTTCTTTGTCATCATGACATCATCACTGTGGCTGCCAAAGGCAACAGCTTCAGCACTGAGAAAAAAAAAAGTGGGCTTTAGAGTGTATTGCTATGCATGTTGGCTTCCCTGGGAACCCAAGGGACAGAGTGCATTCCTGGAAAACGTGTTATTCCCTTTTTGCTGTGCATTAGTGGAGGAAGTAGGCCTTTCGCTCAGTTTTTATTTATCTGACTTATTAGTGCATTATGTATGTGCTAGGCATTGTGCTAAGTATAAGTAGTAGGGTTACAGGATGTCTTGCAAGGTGGCTACAGGATGTCACTGCTGCCATTGTGGCCATAGGTAAGACAAGGTTCGCTCTGTCAGTCCCTGCAGGAGACCTTGTGACCAGAAATAGGTTGTGTCTTATTGCCTGTCTTTTACCAATGAGAAAATAAGCCTCAGAGAAAATTATGTGTCAGTTATGTGTCAAAAAGTTAGAACCCACGTACTTGCCACTGAACCATGCTGTTGTTTGTTTAACTGCCCTTCCCTTCACAAGGGGTCAGGAAGCTTTACAGGCCAGGGTGACAGAAAGGTCCTCCTCTCTCCTGAAGCGTTCAGCCCCCTTGCAGACTGACCTCGTTTGATTTGCATTTCTGTCTGTGTTGCTTGCCGCTGCCCGATCTTTGCCTAGGTGCGGTGAAAGTGCGCAGTGAGAGCTAGTTTTAACCATTCTGATCCTCTGTCACATGCACAAGGGAGGGAGCTTTGACATTAGAAATAACTTTTGCTGTAGAATCCTCCCTGTCTTAACCCGCAAGGCCTGTGGATCTGTGTAAGAGGCGTTGGTGAAGAGCCCATCCAGGCTTTTAGCAGTTGAGTTCCCTTGGAGATCTGCCACGGCCCCAGGTTTATTTGAGAAAATCCCGACAAATACAGCTTCATGAAATGTAGGTGACAGGTGTATACACCTCAAGGACGTTGGCCTGGTCTGACCTTTCCGAGCCAGATAGCAACTTGTAGCCTCTGCCCTGTACATATTCTGATTCTTGGGTTCTTCCTTCAGCTACCACCAACATCCTAAGATAAGGGAGTACAGCCTAGCCAAGTTGCAGATTGTTAAGTAGATTGGCCAACTATTTCTAGAATTTATATTTCCAATTATTTGCAGGCCTGCAAATAATTACTATACTACTAGGTATTCTGAAGCCTACTAGAATATCTAAATTTTGCCCCAATGTTGGTATCTTGGCAAAAATTCTTTGATCTTTCAACTATATCTCCTTGGAGAAAAAAAGAGGTAGACTAGAGTTAAATGCTTAATTTTCCCATGAGACAGATGAGCTATGTGGGAACTCTAAAAGCCAAATTTTGTGAGTACTGGCTCTTCCTCTTTGAATTAATGAAACTTAAGTCTCCATTGGCCAGTCTTCTTTTGGTGATGCCAGACAGATTAAAATAACCCTTGCTGGATAGACTGTATGTTGCCAGCTTGTCACATGAGTTTTAGTTGCCCTTGCGGCTGTTGGCTTTGGGAATCCATCATTTCTAGGCTTCTGCTTGCAGTGTGCGTGAGCACATTTTCTGTGAGCCTGTTGTTTCAGGAACCAGGGGAAGGTTTGGAAAGAATGATGGTTTCTTCCCATTGGATCAGTCTGGCATGGTACCTAGGGCTTGGGCCTGCCTCTGCTTTCATTCCTACAGCCTCATTCAGTGTGCAGAGCTTTAATGAGCAGCTGTTGTATGCATGCCAGGCATTTTGCTAAGCTTGGGGAAACAGATGAATTGGCATCATCCTTATGCTCAAGTGCCATGTAGTTCTCTGGCCAGGGGTGGTGGCCTGGGTCCTAAAGGACAGAAAGGAGGCACAGGAAAGGTGATGTGTAAGAGCTGCCAGTGTCCTGGTATCACTGATTCTCATGGTGCCTCAAGCACAGAGGGAATGTAGATATAAAAACAAAATAACTTTGTTTTTAACGGAAATGCAAATATACAGAGAGAAGGAGGTAAAGATCTTCTATCTGCTAGTTCACTCTCCAAGTAACTGCAACGACCAGAGCTGAGCCAATCTAAAACCAGGAGCCAAGAGCCTTTTCCGGGTCTCCCACGTGGGTGCAGGGTGCCAAGGCTTTGGGCTGTCCTCAACTGCTTTCCCAGGTCACAGACAGGGAGCTGGATGGGAAGCAGGGTCATTGGGATTAGAACCGGCGACCATATGGGATCCCGGCACATGCAAGGCTAGGACCTTAGCCACTAGGCCATTGTGCTGGTCCTGAGAATGCAGATTTTTAATCTCGGAAGACTTGTAACTCAAATTGTTTAGTCAGATAGCTCTGAGCTGAGTGCTGCAGCTCTTAAAATTCTGGGAATTGCACATATCCTTGCTGGTAACTGTGATCTTGGTTCCTCCAAAGGACAAATTTGTAACTTATTTGTCCCTCTCAGAGGAGAAGATACTCCAGATAAATAAGATAATGGATATAGAACTGCTTAGCACGATACTTAGTACATAGTAAGCACTCAGCAGTGTGGCTGCCATCACTCTTTCATGGTGAAATATAAGCAAAACAAGTTTTCCATTTATTCTTCTGCAATGCAAAGGCCTGGGAGATATATCTCCTGAAAGCAATGGCCTGAATATTACTGTCTCCAGAATGCTTCCATAACGGTTTTATCTTCTGTGTCTTTTATTGTTATTATTAATTTGTGGCTCTTTTGTGATACGGATAATTGTACTTTAAATTTTGCTTTAAAGAATGAAATGACTTTCAAAATGTGATGGCGAATGTCAGTCAGGGAAGCTGCTTTCCCAGAGGAAGATGCTTACATTTCAGATTGAGACTGTCCTGGTGTGTCGTTTCCAGGCAGCTCCTGTGCAGCCACACGGCCCCTCTTGCCCTCGGCATTCAGTGCACTTGACCGCGTGCCGCCTGCTTCCCGGCTGAGCTCAGCTGGTGTGTGTGTGTGTGTGTGTGTGTGTGTGTGAGCCTCCGATGTTCAACCTGTCTTCTAGGTCTTACTCATAGGGTGCCACTTTGTGGTATAAGGAGATACTCTACAGTATTTTTGTTTTTAACTTTATTTTGAAAGTACTTTTTTTAAGAAAAATCTACTGGTTAGATTTATTGTCTCACAAAAATATTTTTTAGAGATTATTTGTTCACAGATATTTTCTTTCTCATGCTGATGATCAATCAACTGATTTTGGTCTACAAATGGTAATATCTCTCGGTATTTCTTGGCTATAGATTCCATTTACCAAATGGTGATTTTAGTGTTTTTAAAAGATACTGAGGATTGAGGTGTGTAAATCAGGTGACATAAACATGAAATTATGTGCCTAACTATTTTTGTAATGGCGTTAAATAAATACTTTTTCCTGAAAACATGTATTCATATTCTTTTTCTGTGAGCACAGTCTATACAACAGCCAAGGGTTGGCCTGTGTATGAGGATGGCATTCAAGTTCTGCAGACCAAGTAAGAGAAAACATACTCCTTTCCATCTGAAAGCTTTGTATAAGTAGTATGAATTTTTTTTTTAATTGGAAAGTCAGATTTACAGAGAGAAGGAGAGACAGAGAGGTTTTCCGTCTGCTGATTCACTCCACAAGTGGCCGCAACGGTCAGAGCTGAGCTGCTCTGAAGCCAGTAGCTAGGCGCCTCTTTCGGATCTCCCATGCAGATGCAGGGTCCCAAACTTTGGGCCGTCCTTGACTGCTTTCCCAGGCCACAGGCAGGGAGCTGGAAGGGAAGTGAAGCCACTGGGACACGAATCAATACCCATATGGGATCCCAGCATGTGCAAGACTTAGCCATTTGGCTCCTGAGCTCGGTCTACTTGCAGTGCATTTGAAGGAAAGAATACCAGCCTTTGTGCTTTCAGCATCTGTCAGTCTGCATAATCAGCTTTGTTATTCTCAGCTGTTTTACTAGGAAATAACCCCAAACGAAATATATCCATCAAAGAGGTCATTTGGAATAAGCAAACTCGAAAAGCCCCTCAGAGCACATTGATATGTTAAATCTTGAAGTCCATGCATAGTTCTTACCTAACAGGTATTTTTTGTGACATTTTGAAGTTCCTGTATACAATGTAAAAGATCTTTTGCATATTGGTATCTTTTTGCAACACCATTTTTATTTTGAAAAAAGAGAAAGAGATGGAGAGAGAATGATCTACATCACGTATTCCAACACCATTTGTTGAACTGACTGTCCTTTTGTGGGTTTTAATCAACTTTTTAAAAATCATTTGACTGGCTTTTTTTCTTTGTAATCTGTTAAAGACACATGCTCTTTTTATTTGTTAAATGTCTTTTAAAAGACTCGTTTATTTTTCTTGCAAAGGCAGATTCAGAGAGAAGGAGGAGCGAGAGATCTTCCATCTGCTGGATTGTTACCAGATAAGCACGGTGGGTTCTTTCCTCCATTTACTATAGAAATAAAAAGCTGGGGATCGTGGCAGACAGAGCGGTTTTATTTGCAAAGTGACAAGGTGAATATAAAAAAAAGAGGGAAGGGGAAAGTGCCTACCGGAGAGCCGGGAGGTGGGGGTGCCTCTTGAAAGAAAGGGAGAGACACCAAAGGTTTTCAGAAGAATCTTGCGATTTTAAGCCTTCCCTGATCCCTCCTAGTTGGGCAAGCATCTGTGGGGAAGATGTCCCCCATGGGTGGTCTCTCAATCAGTTAGGAAACAGCTGCACAATTTTTGTGCCACGCGCTTGAAGGTGTGGCCAAGGTCTTAGCAGGCTTGGACTGTCTCGGGTTCACTCTCCAGGTGGCTGTAATGGCCAGCGCTGAGCCAATCCGAAGCCAGGAGCTTCTTCTGTATCTCCCACGTGGGTTTAGAGTCCCAAGGCTTTGGGCCATCCTCTACTGCTTTCCCAGGCCACAAGCAGGGAGCTGGATGGGAAGTGGGGCAGCCACGACACAAATCAGTGCCTGTATGAGATCCCAGCTAGCAGGGAGATCAGCCGGTTAAATAGTTGTGCTGGGTCCGTCTATTCATTCATTTGAAAGTAGGTATCTTTCATCTGTGGGGTCACTTCCTAAATGGCTGCAACTGCCAGGGTGGTTTGTGCCAAAGGCAGGAGCTCAGAACTCCATCCAGCTTGCCCATGTTGTCACTCAAGCATTTGGGCCATTTGTTGCCTTTCAGTGAATTAGCATGAAGCCTTATGAAACCAAGCAGCTGGGACCTAAGCTGGTGCTATGATATGGATGCTAGTGTTGCAAGTATTAGCTTGACCCACTCTGCCACAAGGCAGACAATACATGCTCTTTCATTCAGACTTCTGCAGGTTTACGTCACATGGCTGCCTCGCAGCACAGCAAGAGAGGGTTATCTGGGAACACTACATGGCAGTGCTTGAATGAGTGGAACATGGAGCCGGTACCTTTGCATACCCATAGTAGGTAGGCAACTACCAGTACCCTCCCTCTCCCATTCTTGTTCCCTGCAGTTCTCATCACTTGGGGTCTCTGTTTCCATTTTGTCTATTTGTAAAGCCACAGGTTTTGCAGAGGAACCTCAAGGAGGTGTAACTGCCCAGCATAGTATTGGAACCCCACTGAATCCCTGTCTGCTCACTCCAAGCACCATGGCACTTCACAGATGATGTGACGTTCCTGTTTCTCTGAGTCTCTAACAGACGTGGTGGCGCACCCACCACCTACCAGTGTATGCTTGTCAGATGCCATGCTTCGAAGTTCCCATACCATAGTCTGAGCCTTTGAGCAGGAGTTGGTGACTGGTGGAATTTGAGAAGGCAGTCATGCCAGGAAAGCTGTGCTACAGCTCCCTCTTGTGGCAACAGCTAGTGCTGGGGGATAAATGCTGCACAGGCCGATGGGTGTGCCGTCACCAGATGGGCCCTAAATTGTGGCTTCAAGTAGTTTTGGTCCTGACAGCACTTGACGGATACACAAATGGTGGCTTAAACAAGGTTAACAGTTTTGTCTCACTCAGCTGACAGATTCAGAATTTGTACTTTCACTCTAAAGCCCTTTTCTAGTAACATTGCTGTGTGTTAAGACAAGTCATTAGAAGAATTTTATTAGGAGTGCCTTATGTCTGCTTACTCTTAGGTGATTTATCCCTCAGGGAGTGAATATTTTTGAGAGAATGACAGCATCACCAAAGTGTACTTAATTGTGTCTAAGAATGGATGGGAGGTGCCCAGCACAGTAGCCTAGTGGCTAAGGTCCTCGCCTTGCACTCAGAGATCCCATATGGGCTCTGGTTCTAATTCCAGCTGCTCCACTTCCCATCAGCTCCCTGCCTGCAGCCCGGGAAAGTAGTCAAGGACAGCTCAAAGCCTTGGGACCCTGCACCCACTTGGGGAGTGAATCAGCAGACAGAAGATCTTTCTGTCTCTCCGCTCTGTAAATCTGACTTTCCAATAAAAATACACAAATCTTAACAACAACAACAAAAAGAATGGGACGAGAGATGTTAAGAGATTGAAAAAGAGCACACTCATGCTAGAAACACTGCCTAGGGGGAATTCCAGGCTGCTTTTCTAGGCCACAGCAGGGCGCTGGGTAGGAAATGGAGGCCAAAGAGGTAAATCTTGAAACACAGCAGACTTTGGATTGGGACTAGGAAAAGTGCACTTTTATGTTGTCAGGTAGAACTAAAGAATGGGGGCAGGTCGGGGTTTATCCCCAAAGGCAGACACAGAGTGAGGCAGACAGCAAAGCCAGAGCAACGCTATCCCTCCTAGTGACAGTAGGCAAGGTGTTCAGTGGGATGTCTGTGGGCTAAGAGGCACTGTGCTTGGGTCTCGGAGCAGCCTGGCGAAGCCCCTTCCCCTCATGCACCTTACTGTCAGGATGTACTGCTCATGCAAAAACCCCAACAGCACCTGTGCTTACTAGATTTCGTTAACAGAACTGTCAGACCACAGTAATTCTACCACTCAGAAATCACAATCACTTTGGGGCTATGTCCTTCATTATTCTCAAAAATATTCTCCGTTACTCAAAACAGGCATCATCTTGCTCTTTCCTTAACAGTATTACCACAACTTTGATCTACCACAACCTTAAGTGGGCTTATTTTTTTTTAAACTCAGTATTAGCATTAGCCCTTTAAGTTTTATAGACAGCACAAGTGTAACCTCAGTGTTTTTTATTTATCTTTTTTTTTTTTAATTATTGGAAAGGCGGATATACAGAGAGGAGAGACAGAGAGGAAGATTTTTCGTCTGATGATTCACTCCCCAGGCGGCCGCAACGACCAGAGCTGAGCCAATCCGAAGCCAGGAGCTTCTTCCAGGTCTCCCATACAGGCACAGGGTCCCAAAGCTTTGGGCCGTCCTGGACTGCTTTCCCAGGCCACAGGCAGGGAGCTGGAAGGGAAGCGGGGCTGCCGGGATAGAACCATAGAACCGGCGCCCATATGGGATCCTGGGCGTGCAAGGCGAGCACCTTAACCACTTGCACCACCGCGCCGGGCCCCACAGTGTTTTTTAAATGAGAACTTCTATTAAACACTGGAAGAGCGAGGAGTAGACCAAAAGGTCACATGGTAAGTCAAGTTATGAAACTAATTCAAACTGCTTGAAAGCTCAGAACCACCAGCCAACCAAAATTCCCTCAGCTACATTCTCACATGGAATTAATCGAGCATTTATTTCTGCCTGTGTAAGAGCACTCAGAATTCTGAACAAAACTATACCTGCAAGTTCCCACTCCTACCAAGAAACAGCCTTTATGAAACTCCCACAACCAAGGCACAGCTGGCAAGAGGGGCAGACCAAGAACCGCAAAAGTCGCTATTTTTAAAACAATTCACTTCCTTAGATTTTCTGGTGAGCAATTTTAAATGGCTCATGTTAAGGTTACCCGGATGCCATTCACTTCTTGATCTCCCTCAGTTTCTGAAGAAACCATTTCTAACTCTGGAATCGAATCTTTTTTTCTCATGGAAAGGCCTGCTGCTCACTACATGGCCAATGAGAAGATACAGGGGCAGTTCTGACAGCTGCTCTGATATCATAAGTTTCACAGTAAATGTTAGAAATGTGACGTTTAAGGAAAATTACGTTGTTTAATTTTTCAACAAATGAGAAAAATTTTTAGAATTTAGAATTACATGCCTGAATTAAAAAAAATCCTCTTACTTGATGCCTCTCAAAGAGAACATGTAACATTTCTAAACCCACAGTCAAGCACAGTAATTGTGAAAATAGAGGTCCAAGTATTTAATGGCCAACAGGCATATAAAAACATAAGGAAAATATCTAAACTTCAAGCAAATCTCAGTGTCAATAGGATGAGTTAAGTATTTAGAATTTGATCAAGTTTCTATAGCAAGTTTTCCACAGGACAGGTCTTAAGTGTTAAATCAATATCCGAGATCCCCGTATCCCATCAGAGTACTTGGCTTCGTCTTGCCTTCACTTCTGATCCAGCTCCCTGCTGGTGTGCACCCAGGAGAAAACAGGTGATGGGTCTAATTTTGCACTTCTAGAACTAACCCAGAAAACCTGGATTCAATTCTGGGATTTGGCATGACCCAGCTCTGCCTGGTGTGGTCATCTGAAAAGGCACAAGACATCTCTATCTACCTTTCATGGAAAATCAATATAAACAAACTAAAAAAGGTCAAGACAATAATGAAGAAACGAGTATTGAATAAATGAGCTTATGGAAAATAGGATTAACTCAAATACATGAGATCAGCCTCCTCTTACAGGAACTTATTATTATTTTAAAGATTTATTTTTATTATTTTTTCATTGGAAAGGCGCATATACAGAGAGAAGAGACAGAGAGGAAGGTCTTCCGTCCGATGATTCACTCCCCAAGTGAGCGCAACGGGCCGATACTATGCTGATCCGAAGCCAGGAGCCTCTTCCGGGTCTCCCACGCGGGTGCAGGCTCCCAAAGCTTTGGGCCGTCCTTGACTGCTTTCCCAGGCCACAGGCAGGGAGCTGGAAGGGAAACGGGGCTGCCGGGATTAGAACCGGCGCCCATATGGGATCCCGGGTGTGCAAGGCGAGGACCTTTAACCACTTGCGCCACCGCGCCAGGCCCGAACTTATTATTATCTTAAAGATTTATTTTATTTTTATTGGAAAGGCAGATATACAGAGAGGAGAGACAGAGAGGAAGATCTTCCGTCCAATGATTCACTCCCCAAGTGAGCACAACGGGCCGAAACTATGCCAATCCGAAGCCAGGAGCCTCTTCCGGGTCTCCCACGCGGGTGCAGGGTCCCAAAGCTTTGGGCCGTCCTCCACTGCTTTCCCGGGCCACAAGCAGGGAGCTGGATGGGAAGCGGGGCTGCCGGGATAGAACTGGCGCCCATTTGGGATCCCGGGCGTGCAAGGTGAGGACCTTAACCACTGTGCCACCACGCCGGGCCCAGAAATTTGATTTTTAAAGAGTCGATTTCTGTGATTTAAATCTCTGTCTCTCTCTCTCTATATATATATACATACATACACATTAGAAGTCTGTCATGCAAAAAAGTCGTTTTAGAGAGCAATATGCTAAAATTTGGAAATCCCTGTCCCTACACTATGAATTATAACTGGGAAAACATTACCTGATTGATACTCAGTGATGACACACAGCCATTAGCACACATCTAACTACTGCCTACAATTTCATCAACCTTCAGTTACTTAAAGTTCAAAAGGAAGAGGAACAGTGTGAATGGAAGGCTAGAAACTGAAGGATCTTTTGAGTGGAAAAAAGATGAAAAAATACATCATCCAACATGAGGTGAAGGGGACCAAGAACTACCAGAAACTACTCAGAGACATGTGCAAGAGGAGGGAACAGAAATGGTACATATCTGTGTTATAATTAATGTGCATCACACAAATTTAAAAGCCTAGAATTAAAATCTAGCGTGTGGGGAGCAGTGCGCTGGGAGCCGACCCCATGTGTATGAGGGGCTGCCGCAAGATGGCGGCTGGTCCAGGGCCAGGTGGTGGGATTTGTCCCACCAGCAGGTAAACAGGAAGTCACAGGGATAGGCTAGCGATTATGTCATTGCTACTGGCCTATCAGGTAACACCAAGTGGACCCACGGGGAGAAGTGATTGGTGGAGAACTGTATATAAGCAACCCGTTTTTCAGCAATAAACTCTTTTCGTTCGCCTGCCCCTTTTCGTTTGTCTCTCCTTTCTTGTTCGCCTGTTCGTTTGTGTGTGTGTATGTGTGTCCATTCAGTGTGTTTGTGCCGGTTGTGGTGGCTGTTCCAGGCCCTCGAGATTCATTTTAGTGCGGCGACACTAGTGGTTTAATCTAATGAAAAACATTCACACAGTATAATGTAGGCAAATTTATTTAGAAAAATATTTTAATAAGCATATTCAGAATGGCAGACAAGGAATGGGAGAAGGGAATTATTTTACAGTGCAAAATTAGTATGCATAAATTTAAAAACATCTAATTCATAATTTTAAATGCCTATTTAAATATTATTTCAAATACATTTTAAAGGTCAAGAGATTTGTATTAAACTGAAGTGCAGATTCTGAACTGTTGGAAAATGATAGTGCCTAGCCTAGGGTTGCAAATGGGGTGGCAGTCTCTGGAACTATTAACAAAAGCTCATTTCCCCAATACAATTTGACAAGTTACGAAGTGTATTAAATGTTAAGCAAGTTAAATTCATGATATTACTAAACATTTCAAAATAGTGCAATGACTTATCAAGTTCTAGTGGCTGCATTATGAACAAAGTACTATGTAAAATATCGGTATAAACAAAATACAATTAAATATTTCTTTCTGAAAAGCTCAAAAGCATAATAATGTATAATAGTGGAATGTCTTTAGGCATACTTTAAAAAGATAACAAAGTAAAATTTCCTAACATTTATACATGTGCCATATTTGCAAACATGCCTGAGAATTTACTTAAAACATTCCTATAATAGTTTGCAACAATTTCAAAACCTGCAAACAAAATGCATCTTTTAATGAAAGTTGAAAATGGCATTTGTAATATTGCAACAGTCTGAAAAGTACAGCATCACCATTCTTTTGAAACATTTCTGTAGCTATCTTTGACAAGAGCTAGGATGCTTTGGATTCATTTAATAAAATTCAATTTAAAAAATGGACTGTGACCATCTGCTAAAACTACTGCCATTCTGGATAAATTAATGTTTTAAGTAAAACAAAACAACAAAAACTCAAACTTCTCAACACTTCAAACACTTCCACCCCAAACCTGGATTCACTTGGATATGCATGTAATAACAGTGAATGTACACCTTACAAAGTCAAGTGTTACACAAGTGGATTTTAACACTGCTTTGGAAAAATAGTTGTTCACATCGTGAAGGGAAGCAGTCTGAATGTATGTTAACAGTAATACTTCATGGGGGGGGGGGTAGGTCTTAACAATAACTTCTCAGTGCAAAAAAATCCTCTACTAAGTTGAATTACATAGTTGAGCCATTAAAAATAAGACCAGCAAAGATTTATTTCAAAAAGGTAGTGGCTCTTGAGTTTGTAGCCAAAAGCAAATCAAATAAGCATTAGGGTAGGTCTGTGTGAGAAAAACAGGGGCTAATAATCTTTTACACGTTTGGATGTAGATCGGTCTTTCAGCTGTGTACAACTAGATTTTTTTTCAACAAGAATTCTATGCTAGAAATAAAATGGCATTATTATAGGGCTATAAAGATGGACAATCCTATTCATAATCACACAGAGCAATGGTTGCTGTAAATCTTATTTTTGGAAAAACAAATCTGAAAAACTGGATTGTAACAAACAGCAAAGTCTGCACACTCTTCAAACGTCATCCCATTTTCTTCATAAAAATCAGTGTTATCTGCCAACAGTTACTCTTTGTGCCAATATCTAAATATCACTTGACCTGGTACCTTTGTCTAATGCAAAAAGTCGGGAGATTTTATAATGAATATAAAAATAACTGAACAGGATCATGGTGTGACACATTTAACTTCTTAAAGCTGACAAGAAACTCTTGTTTCAAACATGACTGAAAATTATGGCAAATGCAAAAGAAAAGCTGCAATCTAAGCATCATGCTCAATTTCCAAATTCTCAAATTATTTGTCTTTACATACAAATTAAAAAAAATTCACAATCCTTTATGAATGCTTTTACCACCTGGATAAGAAACATGACTTATTTACTACACAAACACTTAAAAATTCATTAGAAAAACCTTAGCAAAATAAAATGAAAGCTGACAGACTCAGAGTATCAATTCCTCTCATAAAAGTTTACCAACTGTACAAGTTAAGAAAATTATACAAGCTTTGTATTAAGAAAGGACAGCTCAGTCAAGACATATGTACTGTAAAAATCTTTCAAAGGCTACAAAGAATCTGGAAAAATACAGAATGTATTTCTTAAGCCCAGATAAGAATATGGAAAGACATCATTGATGTCAACAATTTTACATATACAAACCTGACTTGGTTTATTTTTAAACTTCTATATATAAAAAAATCATGCTAGCATAACTTTCAGGATTCATAAGGGTTTCCTTAAATAATAATGATCATTTTGTATGGTGAGAAAAATGTCTATGAAGACATTTTAAGAAACTCAAGAGAAGTTGGTGTTATGAAGAAATTTGAACTTGGCTTTTGCCCACTTCGTATCAAAATAAGAAATTATCATACAGCAAAATTTTAAAATATATCAAATTAGAATATACAGATAAATTTTTGGTTCAAATACCCTAAACTATTTTTGATATGCTTAAAAGCTTCTTGACTGTTTTTAGATGAAAAATTCAAAAAAGGCAAAATGATGAAATCTTATTTTCTAAAGTTAGTACTTAATTCAAATTTTTCTATTTTAAAATAACTGCTTCAAGGAAATCAACTTTTTAAGGTAACCCATAAACCCTGAAAATTTTAGTCACACCAGAATTTACTCCAAAGAAAGTAGAACAGATTTAAAATTTAGTCATCTGTGTTTTCAAGTTCTTCAAATTTTCCATGTGAGATCGCTTCTTGGAAAAATTCAGAAGAACCTGGACTTTCTTTTCCATTGCTGTTTATCCTTCGCCTTTTGGCGGGTCTCTCACTTTTCTCATCAAAATCATTTTCATTTTTTGCAGTTACATGAGCAAGTTTGGGGTCAGTGGTAAGATTATCTGTTTCATAACCATTAGTATCCACATCTGTGTGAAGTGGCTTTTTATTTCCACCTGTTGGTCCATTAATGTGTAACCCTTCCACTTTTACTTCTTCTTTGTTTAGTATTTCACCTGGTCCATTAGATGACAACCCTAAATTGGAAAGAAGGTAAATAAAATTGCTTAACATAAAACTGTTTAATTGCAAACTGTTACAAAATAACTACTGCAAAAGAGCTTTCAAAAGAAACTTCAAAAGAGCTAACAAAGCAGTCACAAATTTGCGCATACATAATACATTCAATGTGAATTTTGCCCTGTTAGCTCTGACGCTCAATTTCATTACACACATAATGAGGACAATAAGATATTTATCCTGCAGGGATAAATATAAGTTGCTAAATGGAAAGAACAGAATTTGGCAAATATAAAAGCAGTATTAGGTATTATGTGACAACAAGAATTCAAAAACAGACAGGCATAAATTATTCAGATTTAGCCAAAGATCTGTGCCTTTTAAAACCATACAGAAACAAAATATCTCAAGTTTTTTACTGCCAAATAAAATCAATGCCATGACTTTACTCTTAATGTAAATATATAGGTACAATGCTTTTAAAAGATCACTCTATATTTACCTACCTAAGTGGACTTCAGTCATCTGTTATGGCATTAAAAAGTTAATGCTGCAGTGTCCAAAAATAAATTTCAAAGTGATGAAAGTGAATACAAATTCATCCAGGTGAGCAAAATAAAAGTGATTTACAATAACTAACAAGGAGGGAGGCAGTGTGACGACTCAGATGGCTAATCTTCCACCTGCAATCACCAGCATCCCATATGCATGCCAGTTCTAGTCCCGGCTGCCCCACTTCTCATCCAGCTCCCTGCTTGTGCCTTGGGAAAGCACTGGAGGACAGCCCAAAGCCTTGGGACCATGGAACCCATGTGGGAGACCTGGAAGAAACTCCTAGCTCTTAGGCTGTTTCAGCTTAGCTCTGATTATTGTGGATATCTGGGAAGTGAATCAACAGATGGAAGACCTTTCTCTCTCTTTCTCTGTAAAATCAACCTTTCCAATAAAAACAGAAAAGAAATCTTAAAAAAAATTACCATAAACAAATGAAACAGGAATAGATTATAAAAAAATTAAAATGTAAGTACCTAGAAAATATTCAGTAGTTGGATGAACCTCAAATGCTACATTTTGGTCAAAGAAAACACTGTAATTCCATCAAATCAAAAATACTCAAATCATGTATGCAGGGCTTATACAGCATCTGACACCGGACACAATTCTGCAGCAGCAAGCCCCACACAAGCTAGCTGAGACTGTGATTAGGGCAAAATAATCTGCTTCAAGGCATGAATCTTTAAAAAGCACTGAGTTAGAAGCCCAATCTTTCTTGGAAAGTTTGAAATTCTTGACTGTAATACATGATATAAGGTAGGTTCTCATCAAATAGTAAAAAAAAGAAAAGAAAAAATAACATCATGTCAATGAATCTTCTTGGACCAGGACGCTAAGCTCTGTTTGACTTGGAGGAGAAATAGCAAGAAAATAGAGGGCTCAAGGAATGAACGAAGTATAGACGTTACACTAGCAATGTTAATGCTGAGACTGAAGTTCAGAACAAGAACCGGCACTGTCGGTTAAGCCAATACCTGCAATACCAGTATCCCAAACGAATGCCAAGTTGAGTAAAAGCTATTCCAGTTATGATCCAGCACTCAGCTAATGTTCCTGTGAAAGCAGAATAGGGCTCAACTACTTAGGCCCTACCAACCCACCTGGGAACTCAGAGGAAGCTTCCATTTCTGACCTGGCCTAACCCTTGTGGTTATCGTCATTTAGACGTGGAGGACCAGTGGATTAAGTACCTCTTCTTCAAATAAATAAAAAATAAATCTTTTTTTTAAAAAAAAAAGAAGCTTTCATTAAATCTTCCAGTTTTTCTAGGGTTAGGTTAGCTCGACACCGACTTTCCCCTCTCTCTGGCAGTTTTCTCCTATAAATCAGAGCTGAGGACATGCGGCTTATTTTTCTGTTTTGCTCCTCTCTTAAGTAGGATGACATTTTAAAGTAGAAATCAAAATGATTTTTTGGCTAATTCTTGCTTATCAGCAGAATGATTTCTGGTCCATTGTATATTTTAAACAAGAAAACTATCTGAACCTCAAATACATGGGTATGCTTGTTGCTGCTTTTTCATGGAGATAAAAAAAATCAAGTGATCCTGAAGAATATTAATGCATAGTGCTTTATCTTCGCTCACTCTTCAATGCTACAATACTAACAAAGAAAAACATTCAACACAGCGTCTTTGTTATCTACTTCTTTTCAGCTATGTATACAAAGTAATTTTCTGATGAAGTGTTAACAACTCAAGGTATTTCATAAATACCTGTGTTTCGCACATGAAATAGTTGGGATTTTCATACAAGAACATAGGTACTTGTATCCATATACATCCAACCACTTGAAAAAGAGATGCTACTGAAAAAAACAAAGAAACACCTTCCTGAAAAAGGATGACTGCTAAAAGTAAACATAATCAAAGTGACTTCGTGGTGATGAGCGTCAGACAGCAATCTTTCTAATCCCTTTGTATTTGGTCGGCGTATAAATGCACGCTGATAACGCGCTTCATCCGTTACCTGAGAATTTCTATTTTCCATCTGAAAGCATTGAGATGCTGGGAGAAAAGCATCTTTAATCAGGAAGACGCAGAGCACTGCCCTGACTACTCACCATTCTGACTGTTGCTGTTGACAGTGCCATCCTCCTTCTCAGACTGGCTGTTGCTGCTGTTCGAGGCAGTTGGGGGAGGGGATGGTGCTCGGCTAGAAGCAGCACTTTCACTTTCATCCAGGAGCCGATCCATGTAATCCCTTAAAATTATATTAAAGCCAATTATTTTCTCACATTAAAAAAATTGAAAACTGCAACTAGCTGAGATAAAATACAGACATAATTAATAAATATGAGTGTTATGGATCTAAATATTCTTGCAACCAAATCTCATGAACTTTCTGACATATACTCTGATGCTTCGTCTATCGCACCAGCATCTAAACTATAAATGGAATATACTTTTGGTTACACACTTACAGAAGAAAACACATAAAGGCTTTTTCAAACCAGCAAATTTTAAAGACCTACGTAACGTTTAAAAACATTTTTAAATTATAGGCACTGGGCCTGGCATGGTAGCCTAGTGGCTAAAGTCCTTGCTTTATACACACCAGGATGCCATATGGTGCAGGTTCTAATCTCAACAGCCCTGCTTCCCATCCAGCTCCCTGCTTATGGCCTGGGAAAGCAGTCCAGGATGGCCCAAAGCCTTGGGAACATGCACCCATGTAGGAGAGACCAAGAAGAAGCTCCTGGCTCTGGATCAGTTCAGCTCTGGCCATTGCGGCTACTTGGGGAGTGCATCAGAGGACAGAAGATCTTTTGCTCTGTCTCTTCTCTCCTCTGTATATCTGCCTTTCCAGTAAAAATAAATAAATCTAAAAATAGATAGATACATTGTGGCTGTGTGATCAGTGATCCAACTAAAACCAGAAGGCCTGTGTAAGTGAAAAGATAGGGATGATGTCAACAGTATTACAAAGCAATTTCTAAGATGCAGATGGGCATTACCTTGAAAACAAAGGAGGGCCTAAAATCCTTAATACATTGTACACTACCTTTGTCAAATTTGAGCTACAATAAGCTAAATTCCTGCGCATGTTTACTGGCCTCATCCTATCAGTATCTCATCAGAGATGAGCTCATTCCATCCTCAGTTACTCCAATGGAACTACTTAGTTGTACTGGCTTTTGGCTTAACAGCAGATCTGTGCCAAATACTGCTTTTATTTAGCGTTTTTACCCATACAATGTAGACAAATTACCTGTCTTGTGTACTACATGGTTGTAGTATTAGATATGTGTACGGAAAAAATAGTGCTCCTAAGTCACTAAAACAAAGATCAGCAAACTATGACCTGTGGGGTGGCCACCTGTTTTGTTTTTTATTTTTAAGATTTATTTTTATTATTTTTTTATTGGAAAGGCAGATATACAGAGAGGAGAGACAGAGAGGGAGATCTTCCGTCCAATGATTCACTCCCCAAGTGAGCACAACGGCTGATGCTATGCCGGTCCGAAGCCAGGAGCCTCTTCCGGGTCTCCCACGCGGGTGCAGGGTCCCAAAGCTTTAGGCCGTCCTCGACTGCTTTCCCAGGCCACAGGCAGGGAGCTGGATGGGAAGCGGGGCTGCCGGGATAGAACCGGCGCCCATATGGGATCCCGGGCGTGCAAGGTAAGGACCTTAACCACTGCGCCACCTGTTTTTATAAACAAAGTTTTATTCTAATCTGGTTTCAAGATGTATCACTGCTCTCATAGGAGAAATGTTCATCTGAGTAGTTTGTAACAAATCTTAAGACCTGCAGAGCCTACTATTTACTTACTACCTTTTTACAGAAAAAGTTTGCCCATACCAAGCAAAGTGAACTTGCTGATTCTGTGTACACTGTGCTATTTGTACTTAAAATGTACGTGATATGATGAACAATAAAAACTGCACTACAGTTTAAAATTCCTTCAGAATACGCATGATAGGATTTTAAGACAAATTTTTTAGAATTTTCTAAGCATGAAGGGGTAAGAAACAAACAGTGGCAGCTCTTGAGACTTTCCTGCAAGTAGGTTAATAGCCAACAACACAATGTTAATTTGTAAGCAGTATCTCAAACTGTACGATCACTGGTCCCTGGATTATGGCGATTAAAAAAAAAAAAGGCAGCACAGTCCCTGACCTCAAGAAACTTCCAATCATCTGAAGTCTCAAAAACATGAAATGTATGACAGTGACCTATCAATTTGACATTTTAGGCTTACTTTCCTCATTAGCAAGTGGAGAGAATTAAATCTGATGGTTATTAAGACCCCCTTGAGCTCTATCTATTACAAATGTAGGATGATTACAGACAAATTTGAAGAGTACTTGAAACAAACGACTTTGTTGAATGTCAAAGGAACTTCAGAAGCTAAAGTTAATCAGAACATGCATGATGAAGAACTGTTGGATAAAAAGCATGGCATGATGGGAATGGATAATGGTCAATGCTAAAAGGCCAAAAAAAAGTTGGAGTCGATAACGTAGTAAAATTATTTGAAATTTTTTTAGCAGTAATACTGTGAAAGTACCACAAGAACTATTTCTTAAAAACTCATACACCCAGTTAAACTTAGGACAGAAACAGTCATCAAGACTATCCAGAAAGTTGGGGCAACATTCAGTTAACTGGAATCTTGTAGAGTTAATTTTACCTCCATTCCCATTAAAAAACAAACAAATAAAAAACAAACAAAAAAAACATTTGAAGCCTGAATATTTTACAGTGAAATCTCCAATTTGCATGTGGTTCTCAATTCTTTAGGCAATGGTAGAATCTGTAGAAGGATCTTTGAAAGGTTGTTTGTATTCAAAGTGGTAAAGGTCCTTCATATGGTAATAATTGGAATAGAAAAATGAACAAGTAGCTTTCAGGATAATTTGATCTCAACCATGGATCTTGATTTTAGAAAGATATAAAAAAAGACTCAAATTGGTCATTAAAGGCATCAGCTTAATTTTTGGTGCAATTACTGACAGTGCAAATATTAATAGAAAATAGCAGAAATAAGCCAAAAAAATTACTCCATTTATAGAAGTTTATGATTTCTTGCTATGTTGGGGAAAAAAATGCCACAATTACACAGGTAAAACACAACTTCAGTTAAAAAAATCCCATTAGTTAAGAAAAAATAAAAACTATTTACGAAAGACATAACTGGTATTTTTGACTAAGGGGAACAACCCATTTGTTCACCTCATACCATTATACCATGGGACCACTAATTTTTTATGACAGACAAGATATGTATTATGTTAATTCAGGCTACTCCATCTATAGAATACGTAAGAGAAATCAGAATTACAGAGTGAAGTATTTCCAAAACACTGCCAGCAACTATGGAGAAATTTATTAGAGAAACTAGAAGTTTTGGTGGTACATCCCTACCTAACCTGTTGAGCTTCACACATCTCAGAGGACCAACTAAGCCAGCCCACAATACTTCCCTTGGTGACGCTTTCTGAAAAAGAAAACTGGATGAACCATGGGTCTGACCCAACATGGCAATTCTTATGCTATTACTGCTGATGAAGACAGAATGACTACAGTTTATGTATAAACAGTTCTGAAACAAGTGAAAAAAATGAAGGATGTTACTACTGCTTTTCCCTATTGAACAGACTGAAAACCGTGACTATTTTAAGATATACTCTGGAACTGGATTGCTGTTATCAAGTTCCACATCATTAACTTTTAACACCAATGAGTAATCCAGAAATATCTTCTGTAACATTAAGTAACATTAAGCAATTACATAAAATGTGGAATACTGCTATCCATGAAGCTCCACTCTAGCAATCAGTAACTCTGAATGATGGGGGACACTGAGCACAGGGAACTGTCACATGATTCTCAGGGGCCAATCGTATTGCTTTATTCTCTCTCATATTATTTTGCTTTAGGTTTTGGAGCATGTGATCCTGCTAGGCCAGATCCTTGAAATCCAAAGATCCAAGAAATAGTCCCACCTAGGAGTTTGAAAAGTACAATCAAGAAAATAAATAAGGATCTGGCATGGTACCCTAGTGGCTAATTAATTATATTTATGTGCCAGGATCCCATATGGGCACTGTTTCATGGCTGCTCCATTTTCCAAACAGCTCCCTGCTACACTATAGCCTGGGAAAGCAGTCAGGGTCAGCTCAAAACCGTGGGACCTTGCACCTGCTTGGAGACCCAGAAGAAGCTCCTAGCTCCTGGCTTCAGATTGGCTCAGTTCGGGCTGTTACATCTACTTGGAGAGTGAATCATCAAACAGAAAATGTTTCTGTCTCTCCTCTCTATAAATCTTCATTTATAATAAGAATAAATAAATCTTTTAAAAATTATTTAAAAGAAAATATATAAAAGCATATCTTTTAAAAAAATAATTTGGACAGCACCAAGAATATATTTATTGGTATATATTGACCAAACTGAATCACAGCTTTGTATTAGTCTGTAATTAGAGGTTAAAGATAAGGACTGCATAGTTAATTCCATTCTCACATATAACCATTTGAAAGTATTTCAGTGACATAAAGGATTCAACATGCTTTATACTGAAATAATCAGTGGCTGAATGAGGTAAAGGCAATTTTGATGCAAGGGAACAAGATGCAAGATTTTCATGCAAAATATTTCACATAGATTGAATCTTATTTTGCATGTGTTACTAGTTATTAAATGTTGCTTATGTTAAAGAAAATGATTTTGGAAAGTAGGAAAAGGGAAATCATAAGAAATAAGGGAAATAACAAGAAAGAAGACACAATCTGAAAGATGTATTCCTTTTTATCCTTTTGTTATCTTCCACACTCAGTGCTCAAATGTGACTTTGGTTTCTGAGAGAAAAATGGTAATTAAATAAACAGTATTAGCTACCCTTCCATTGAGTATATATGGCTCTGTAGTTTCACCAAAGATACTCTTTCAATGCTCATGGCTCCCAAAGTGATTTTGCTTCAACAGAATGGAACAAAACATGATTTCACAGCTGTGCTATTCCATTTCTTCTCAGGAGCACCTAATACATAGACAAAGCATACTTTGACAGTATGTTTATTGTCTCTAATAATATGAAATATGATTTAAAATGTTGAGACAACAAAAAGTCTGCCCTATGAAGACATGTAAAAGGTTTGGTGCAATAACCTAGAGGCTAAATCCTCACTTGCATGTGCCAAGATCCCATACAGGTGGCAGTTTCTGTCCTGGCTGCTCTACCTCTCATCCAGCTACCTGCTTGTGGTCTGGGAAAACAGTATAGGATGGCCCAAAGCTTTGGGACTCTACACCCAAATGGGAGACCTGGGAGAAGCTCCTGGCTCCTAGGTTTGGATTAGCTCAGCTCTAGCCATTGCAGCCACTTGGGGAGTGAACCAGAGGATGGAAGATCTTTCACTATATCTCTCCATCTCTTTGTAAATTTGCCTTTCTAATAAAAATAATTTTTTTTAAAAGACATGGGAACATATATTCAATTTAAATTAACGTAAAGTCTACCATAAAGGTAATATGTATTATTTTTTAAAGATTTATTTAGTTTTTATTGGAAAGTCAGATTTATAGAGAGAAGAAGAAACAGAGAAAGATGGTCCATCTGCTGGTTCACTCCCCAAATGGCTGCAACACCAGAGCTGAGCCAGGAGCCAGGAGCTTATTCTGGGTCTCTCACGTGAGTGCAGGGTCCCAAAGCTTTGGACCATCCTCTACTGCTTTCCCAGGCTACAAGCAAGCAGCTGGAAGGGAATGGAGCAACCAGGATACAAACCAGCACCCATATGGGATCCTCGACATACAAGGCAGGACTCATAAAGGTAATATTTTGAAAATCTAATTCTCCCAAGAAAATCCAGAAAAGCCTAACAAAAATTTTTGAAATTTAAAGAAATGAACTCACGTCACACCAGGATGAAGATTGTATTTCTTTTTTCCAAATCGTGTTTGCTGAGCAAAGAAATCATAGCGTTCAGATTTTTTCCACATGTAATAGAATGCCACACACTCACCAACTGATCTTGTTCGAACCTATAGGAAACAAAACACTTATTTTTAAGAATTACCTATTCTTTTACAGAGCCATTTCATGAAAATCTCCTCAAATTTGAAAGCAACTCCTGAACTCACACACTGTATTGTGTGCAAACTATAATACTCCAGCAGCAATATTTATGTTATTCTTCCTAAACTTCCACTGAGAAACAATAGACTACCCACTATCATCTTGATTTACCATACAGATAAATACTCCCTATTTAAAATGCTTGGAAGTGTCATTCAGGTAAACAAGAATGTCAATTCGAGTCTGCAAATACTTTCTGACTCATTGAGAATGTAGGGAATCTAATTTCCTACCATTAAGATCCAATAACAATACAGACTGAATCAATTTACTTTCTAGGAAGTCAGAATATGTCACAGTGAGCAAGCAGCTCTTATAAGGTGATGCTCTGCTTTCTAAGTTATCCCTGTGGCACACCATGCCATATCTACTTGTACAACCGAATGGCTCAATGTGGTATTTAAAAAAAATTTGTTAGATCGCTTACAGAACTGGTAGGGTTGATGAATAGCACCACTAAGAGTTTAGAATGGAAAAAGGTTTTGAATGAAAACTGGAAATGCTTAAACCCCCAAAACTTCTGCACTTGAAATAGGCTGTATCCTGTGGCACTGATCTGACCTGAAAATAACTGTTGATGACATCCTTCTTTACCTGACAATTACTTTTCTTTCTTCCTCTCTGCTGCAATTGATAATTCTGGCCCGCGTTGCTCACAGACTGATAGAAATCAAAGTTTAAAAAAATTCTCTCAAGCACTTTGTCTATTAGAATTTTATTTCTAGATAGATTCAAGTCAAGTCTACTGTGTCTTACTGAAAGTAAAATACATACTAGAACTTAGGATGAAGATGTAAAGTTTATGCATTAAACAACATCTTGATGTTTTTACTGGGCAATTCTTGTTAAATACTGCCCTTTCCATTTTTCAACATGACAATGTAATATACATGTCAACGGATTTCTACTCTGTAATACTAGGTATCACCATACAGAAAATTTGGAAAGAAATTCAGGTCATGTTTTATTAGCATGTTAAGTATGCTGTTTCTGTTTGTTTGTTTTCTGGTTTATAATTTCAAGTCACCCAGTTAAGTTCTTACTCCTTTAAAAATAAATAAATAAAAATAACATTGTTGAGGCAAATTACTGCTACTACAATCCAGCCCCAGCTCTCTGTATTTAACCTCAAATAGATATATACCATGGCTTGATTCAATGCTATTTGAATCCAAACACACATTTTGGAAAAATCTTATTTTCCCCTTAGTCATGAAATGGTAGTGATAAGGTTGTAAGTGGGAAGACTCATGAATGTATGGCTAGACATCATAACATACAATACATTTTTGCTTTCCTGGAATTTTAACTACATTTAAGAGTATCAGACTGATATCACATTAGGGGCATACCTTACTGACATCAATGAAACTGTTCTAAGTTGTCCCAAAATATTAAAAACTGAAAACTTCTCTTTTGGTTATGTTTTATCTCAGCTACCAAAATCCACCAAGAGAATAAAGAACTAACATATAATATTGTCTGAAAAAACTAAGAAAAACAAACTTAGAACTACTTTATGCAAATACAAACTAAGACTAAATATTAAGTTAGGAAAAAACGTCAAGGGGATTCTAACAGATCACATGTACAAGTACAATTTAGAGTTTTACCTAACAACCCTGAACACAGTTCTAGATAAGCTGCACAAAAAGCTGAGCAGATATACTTTAGGAGCTACATGAAGCCAAGATGCTTTAGTAGTCATTAAAAATAATGTGATATTCATAGCCTAGGAATGAACTGTATTTGAGCTTTGATTATATCTGTTTTAATCTCACAAAGGTATAAAGAACTTCTCTATTCTAAATAATTGTGTATGTTCAAAATTTTACTTAATTTTGTGTAAGGATTAAACCGCAAATCAAATATACAAATAATTAATAGAAGTTTCAGTGCAGAACTGACATTACCAATATAGAATGGTTAAGTGAACATGTCAAATAAAATTTAAATTTATGACAATCCTTACTGACATAGATGCTTCCAGGACATTAAATTCAATCTTGATTAAAACCAGGTTAGACCTTAAGTATGTGATTATGGGTCAATTAAGACTCAAGTGCTTTTAAATTTCAAAATGAATTAAAGTCTACCCTTACAACACTGCCTACGACTGTGGAAATGCCTACTGGTAACTTCACGGCACACATACACAACCTACTAAACATCTCATCGACATAGCTGCAAGGGAAGCTCATTCCTGAATACCTCTAGTCACCTGGAAACTCTGTCAGGAAATCCAGGCATGGTTGTTATAATTTGCTATGAACTATTTCAATATCAGATGCGGAGTCTGTAGCACCAGAAAATACAACAAATATATAAAATATTAAGAGCCATTAAACTAAATTTCCCTTTTTAAGAAACAATAAATATTTTTACTTACTTTATTAGCCTGAATCAAATGAAAATCCTTTCCATAGGCTTTCAACCCTTGTTCAAAATTTCTGCACTCTTCCTCCGTCCACACAGACAATTCCTCTGACAAAATATGTGTGAGAAACTTTTAGAAATATTTTCCTCATGGCCATATGTGAAAAAAAAAACACCACTGCATATATTTAACTTTGTAGTAAAAATGAAGAAAGTATTTTATTCTTTAATTCTATTACTAATTATTACAAAACATAAGATGAAAAATTCTTGATTTCATAAAAATTTCTAATGGCTTGATCCCTATTTCCCCTTGGATGTCTTTCTGCCCAATTCTCCATGATTCAACTATAGTATACATCTTCTAATTTGTCTTTACTTCAAACTCTGCATGGTCTCCTCTTTGCCTGGAATTATTTCCTGCTTCCTATAATATTATACCTGCTTTCAGAGGTAAGTGCTTTATACCTGAGCAAAAATCCTCCTAAAGCCTTCTTTCTCTTCCCCAAATGAAGTGAAAGCCCAATGCAATAGATTTCAACAGTACTCAAATTCTCGGAAGAATTCATCATAACTTTTTTTCAGTGTCCTTAGCCACCTTCATCAGCACCACAAAGGCAGGGATTTTCTTTATATTTACACCCTGAAACTCAGGAGACTCATTTTTTTGGTTGAACAAATATATAAATATCATCTGTTAATATTTAAGAAGAATATTCTTTATGATGCAGGATGGTAGTCAGAATTATAGTATAAAAGGAAAATCAAGATTATAGTTTTGGCTTCACAGTATATGAATTATGTCTGCTTCAACCAAGTCACTTTAGTTCAAAGTCTTTGCCTCAAACATTTCTATAATATTACTCAGCTTACAAGACTGTTACTAAGATCAATTAAGAGAATATTTATACACGTGTCTTGAAATTTGAAGACATTAATGTATTTCTAAATATTTGCTTAAATGGCTTTATTTCCTCCCTAAGATTTATTTATTTGAGGCACAGAGTTAAGGAGAGCAGTAAAGACAGGTCCTGCATCTGCTTCTTCACCCCTGGCATGGCTGCCAGCAGTGAGGGCTGGGCTAGGCCAAATCCAGCAGCCAGGAGCTTCGTCCAGGTCTCCCACATGGGCGGCAGCCATCAGCCAACTGCTTGTCCTAGGCACATCAGCAGGCAACTGGATCAGAAGTGCAGCAGAAGACAAGAAGCATCACCCATATGGGAAGTCAGTGACACAGACGCTACAACACAATGCCAGCCCTGGCTTTTTATTTTATCACAGAAAGGTGGCCTTTAATTCCATTCTTCATAATGCTTGATACAATTCTTTCATTTTACAAATATTTATGTGTTTTAAAAGATCAATATTACTAAACTTATGATGTGTGCAGAAAAATTACAAACATTAATTTCACAAAATCTTGACAAGGCCCAGCGCAGTGGCCTAGCGGCTAAAGTCCTCGCCTTGAACATGCCAGGATCCCGTGTAGGCACTGGTTCTAATTCCAGCAGTCCCGCTTCCCATCCAGCTCCCTGCTTGTGGCCCGAGAAAGCAGTTGAGGACGGCCCAAAGCCTTGAGAGACTGCACCCACGCAGGAGACCTGGAAGAAGGCTCCTGGCTTCTGGTTTGAGATCGGCTCAGCTCCAGCCGTTGCGGCCATGGGGAGTGAATCATCGGAGAGAAGATTTTCTGTCTCTCCTCCTCTCTTTAAATCTGAGTTTGCAATAAAAGTAAATAAATCAATATTGCAGACAAAATTTAATATATATGTGCTTACCCCTTGCTGCTTTTACATTGAATCTTAATCTTCTCAATGCTTCTTCGGTATCAAAATTGCATTTGACCAATTCATATAAAGCCTAGAAAATTAAAAGGCTTCATATATATGACTCATACTATGAACAGTTCAATACTACAATCTCATAAGGGAGTAAAGGTTTAAGAGAACAGAGGTTTTTTTGGTACCCAGTATTTGGTTTAATCCCTTCTAGACAATTTTCCTGAATGTAACATATGGAATACAATGGAAAAAGAACCAGACATTCACTCTCGATAATTAATTACCTTTAGATATATATCAAGAAGGGAAAGTAAATATCCATAACTTTGGAGCCATAGTATTTCAGGATTTTAGAAATAAAAAGAAATTATTGTACATAAATCAGAATTTCCTATTTCTGGCTATTTGAGCTATTACAGTTTTAAACAAATTACAAAAGAAAAAAAGTATGAATTTGTGACAGACACTAGTTTTTCCAAGAATATAATAAACATTACCGCAGATGAATAAGTTGATAATAGCCAGAGTCACAGTGAAAGCCAAAATAAAACTACATATAGGAAAATGAAACATCAGTGGGGGTGCTAACAATGAGCATCTTTCACTGATTTTAACCTCAGATTCTTTGTCAATTTCATTACAGGAATTCTGATAGACAAAACATAACAATGAAATGACAGCACTAAAATTTATAAATGTGTATTGTATTGCTTGGAGAAATTCTAACAGTCATTTGTCATTTACATACCTGTTCATTGTCTTTTATGTGAGATCCTTCAGGAATGGCTTCTACTCCTTTTTCATCACCTGTTCTTCTAGATGCATCCATAAGAAATACAATTACTTTATCTTCTGATAAATACTCAGGGTCCCACAGGAGCTGATCATCATTTTCATAAACTAAAATAGTAACACATAATGTTAATAAAAATTGCCAGTTTTTGCAGGAATTTGTTTAATGTATCACTGAACAAGTAACAACTTAATAACTTAATGCTAAAAAACAAGTGGTGAAATGGGGTTCCACCACCTGCATGGCTTATTCCCAGTGCAACATTTATTGCCTTTGTTGGTTAAGCATTCTGAACTGTGACTGATACTACTCCTATTTAGAATTGGTCTCTAGTTGGAAGTTGATCACATTCTAAGCTTTTTGGTTTGAGTAGCACCACTTACTACTGGTATGACCTTGAGCCAAGTGACTTCCTTTTTCTCTGCCTCACCTGTGAAATGGGGGATAACAACTCCACTTAGTTTTAGGAATCTGATGCTCATTAAAATAATTACAACACAGAAACTGAGGTCAAATGGATATTAGTAAAAATAACTATTTTGAAAAATGTCTCAAGAAATGTACATCATAATTAATGCTGCTCATTTCCTGGTAGTGTGGTTTGAGGGCAATTTTCGATTTCTTTATATTTTTCTGGGTTGCTTGAAAATGTACTTTCATCTGTAAGATTTTCATTAAAAGAAAAAGCCATATTTCACAAGACAAGTTTTATCATAATTTCTATAATGTTAAAGCTTAAAACTCACCAAAATTAAAAAAGGCAAAAAAAAAAGAAAATGACCTAGGACAGAGTTTGTAGAATTCTAGACTACAGGAAGATAAAAACACATACAGTTAAGAAGGAACTGACAAAGTAGAAGGACCACCAAGAGTGGAATCACAGAAGCAAAAGCAACACAATTCTTAGAACAGTGATTTAAAAGACAGTTTAAAAGCTGTTAATTAAGAAGCTGGCATTGCGGTACAGTGGGTAAAGCTCTTCTGATGCCAGCATCCCATCTTGGCACTAGTTTGAGACTTGGCTACTCCACTTCTGATCCAGCTCCCAACTAATGTTTCTGGGGAAGCGGTGGAAGATGGCACAGAACGTGGGCCTCTGTGGGGGACCCAAAGGAAGCCCCACAGTCCTCGCTCCAACCCCAGTCACTGTGGCCATTTGGAGCGCACACTAGAACATACAAGATCTTCTCTGTCTCCCCTCCTCTGTAACTCTTCCTTTTAAATAAATGAATAATGATAATTTAAAAACATTTAGGCAATTAAGAGGAAAGCTGTGCTGAATTTGCTGATTTAGAATTGAACCCAGAAAAATTATTTTTTGTTTCCTAAAACAGATATTCCTAAACTATAGTTTCAAAGATGGTATCTAGAAAACTTTCCGTAACGGTTGCTACTCTCTTCCAAACTTCCTCGTGCAATTCTAAATCATAACTACAATAAAACCTTGCTGACAGGTGAATCTGGGTATACAGCTTTTGACTTCTGCCCTGTGCTTGCCTGGCCCAGCTAACTGTAGTTTTCATCTTACAATGAGTATGGGATGAATAAGACCATATAAAAAGCCCTACCTACATCTGGCCCTATGTAACAAGCATAAACTACTTGGCAGATATAAGAATTTCTGAAGACCCCAGTAATTATAGGTTACAAATATCGTTACTTAAGCCTAGCCGACACCCTAGTCAGATGTCTCAATTAACAAATCAAATCCCTGGAATCACGGTTAGCTAGACATATAAGACTAGCCCTGATTATTCTATTAACCTCAGAATATTTCACTGAATTTTACACAATTAATAATAATCACAACGTGGGAACAACTAGAACAACACAGAGTAACCCTAACCCTGCCTTTCCTGGTTCCAGCAGATCAAACTATTTTCTAGTTAAACCTTCACTCTACATAAAATATGGGTATTATGCCTTTAATCTAAATAGGCAGTAGCTGTTTTTAAATCTGTTATGGAATCACTAGAATATTAAGATCATAAAAGCAGCTATACTGTTATGATTAGACCAAAAAAAGATTTATATATATATATATATATATACACAAATAAGTATATATACGTATATACAAATATATGCATATATAAAACAAAATTAAAACTAAATAGTGGGGTCTGGCACCATGGCATAACACATTAAGCTACCACATGCAGCACCAGATAGAGTCCTGCTTACTCCACTTTCAACACAGCTCCCCATAATGTGCCTCGGAAATTAGTGGAGGATGGCCCAAGTCCTTGGAACCCTGCACCCATGTGATGACCCAGAAAAATCCATCAGCTCTTTGCTTTGGAATGACCCATTTCTGGACACAGGGAATGAACCAGCAGATGGAAGATCTGTTGGTCTCTCCTTTCTGTAAACCTGCCTTTCCAACAGAAATAAGCAAACCTTTAAAAACTAGATAGTAATAGAAAGATAATGCAATGATATAAAATGGCATGAAGATGCTGAATTTTCAAAATCTCAATTACTAAAATGTAATGAAATGTTCTGAAACTATGTCTTTTTAAATCCATTTCCAAACCAAAATTTTAGAACTTCTGGGAAGCAATCACAAATATACCCTCCTCATATTACTGGATGACAATTTATATGTGGCTCCAAGAAGAGTTAGAATGTAGGAATTCAAGAACAAGGAAGTGTTTCGGTATCTTGTTAAAGACTGCTTCAGCACATATAAGCTAGGGTCCCGATGATGCTCATCTGGGGAGTACACATAAGCATCAAAGCATCGATACATCTTTCAGCTTTCTACTTTAGGATCCAGAACAGAATTAGAAACATTAAATGGAGCTTGTCACCTTAATAAAATTATTTGTCAAAACAATTTCACTGGATCCATTCTATGTATCTAGCTGCAGGAAACCTTTAAGGAGCTGCAGGTACGAAGGAGGAGAGGTGTGTTACACATGGACCAGAGGAAAGAAAAAAATGACATAGGAAGAAGCTGAGACCATACCATAAAACCATAAAAAACAAAACAAAACCAAAAAACTTTTCACATACAGGAAATTAATTCCCAATGAATAAATGTTCACTTATTAGCTACCAGCTTTACAAATGCTTAAGGAAAATTCTCTGACCACTGTATCAGGTTGTTGGGTCTCAGGACACCGGGTGGGAAACCAGGACTGTGTTCCTGGCTCTGGGACTGGACTTGGCCTACATAGGTCCAGTCATGGTGGGCCAGCCGATGACAGATCTCTGTTCATACTTTAACTTTTCAAATAAATAAATGAAGATTTAACGTAAGGATCAAAATACTAATGTTTAATTAACAACAAGGTACAATGATTGGGATGACAAAAGTTATCTGCATATTCTTAAACAGTCATTCTAATCAATGACACAGCCTTTTTAACCTGCCAACCACAGTTTTTCCCATATAAGTTAAATGACTTTTGCTTGTTTAATTAGTACTTTCACAGACTGAAATCTGAAACCTTAAATGCTCCAAAACTGAAAACACCTCTGGTCTCAGCTTTTGCATAAGGGATGCTGAATCTGCACTAACTAACAGCACTTGTTTCTTTTTTTTCAATTAAGATCTGTAAGAATTAAAATAACTTGCCAAAGGTTCATTAAAAGTACTCAAATAGCCTTTTCTATCCACCACTTAATTTCCAGCAATTACAAATTTATGTCACACAAGCATAAAAGTTTGGAAATATGGGCCAATCAGGTGTTTTCCCTTGGCTTTTTCTTTTTTACTCAAAATAACTCATCCAGTTCTCACTTTATGCAGTACAGGATTTTCAATCTTGACTTTACTGAGCTTTCTGGTCAGATAATTCTTAGCGGTGATGACTGACAAGGAGCTACTCTGTGCATTGTAGTCTCTTGACCAGCATTCCTTCTGTAGTCTAGTTACAAACTGTATTAAGTACGTAAGAATAAATAAAGCACAAATAGAACTGAAAAAATCAGTTGCCTTAAGAATCAGGCTGCTTGGGCCCGGCGCGGTGGCGCAAGTGGTTAAAGGTCCTCGCCTTGCACGCCCGGGATCCCATATGGGCGCCGGTTCTAATCCCGGCAGCCCCGCTTCCCTTCCAGCTCCCTGCCTGTGGCCTGGGAAAGCAGTCGAGGACAGCCCAAAGCTTTGGGAACCTGCACCCGCGTGGGAGACCCAGAAGAGGCTCCTGGCTTCGGATCGGCATAGTATCGGCCCGTTGCGCTCACTTGGGGAGTGAATCATCGGACGGAAGATCTTCCTCTCTGTCTCTCCTCTCTGTATATCCGCCTTTCCAATAAAAAAATAATAAAAATAAATCTTAAAAAAAAAAAAAAAGAATCAGGCTGCTTTTCACTTGTCTAGTATCACTATGGAAATTAAACCCCTTCACAAATGGTCTGGTTGGGGTGAACACAGCTCAAAAAGTTCCAGTAATAATTATCAAAACAACTCGAGCAGGACCCTGGGAGCATGCCCCACGTAGGAGACCTGGGATGGGTGAGGCTGGGTGGGGCTTCTCCCTTTATCTCTCCCTTTACCCCAGATACAGGAAAAAACCAAAACCAAAAACAAAAAATGTGAAACAATAGTCTTATCTACTTCCCTGAAGCCCTTGACCCTTTATGGCCTAATCAACTACCAAAAGATTGTCAAAATAAAGCAATTTAAAAAAAAGTTTCAGTAATAAATAAATGAGCCACAGCAAGTCAGAGAACTCACATTTCTGGTCAGTGACTAGATGGATAAATTGTAGCCATTTGGAGAGTGAACAAATTGGTGGAAAATATCTATCTCCCTCTCTCTTTGGTTACTTCAAAAAAATGTTTTTTCAAGAAAACATATGGGGGAAATTCTGATTATCAAGTAATTCTTTTTAAGATTTATTTGTTTTTATTGGGACAGGCAGATTTTTAGAGAGAAAGGCCTTCTTTCCACTGATTCACTCCCCAAGTGGCAGCAAATGGAAAGAGCTGAGCCAATCCAAAACCAGGAGTTTCTTTCAGGTATCCCATGTGGTTGCAGGTCCCAAAGCTTTGGGCTGACCTTGACTGCTTTCCTAGACCACAAGCAGGGAGCTGGAAGGCAAGTGGAGTAGCCAGGATACAAACCAGCACCCATATGGGATCCTGGGGCATGTAAAGA